AGCCATGGCAGACAGAGCAGCACCATCCCCGGAAGCCGCCAGAGAGGTATGAGACGAGGGAAGGGCCACCTGCCCCTCGGTATCTCCCAACTCAAGAACTGTCGGCGCACAAAGGGGGGCCACGGGATCCACAGCACCCGGATAGACACCCCGAAGCCTGGGCGGTGCAGAGAACGGTCCCAAAGACCCAAGCTGCAAGGTGGACGCCGGAGCCACACCAGAAGACCGAGCAGGGGCAATATCACTAGAACCAGACGGGCCGACCGGCTCCTTGGCCCCATCATCATCCCCCATAGCCGAGTCATCCTGGTTTCCCGGTGCACCTCCTCCCTCAGTCGTGTCCATAGGATTGTCATCCTCAAACTCATCGAACAAATTCGGATCCTCGTATAGAACATCCAGCTTATAGAGAACATCATCATACGTCCAGGGCACCACGTTCGGCAAGAACTCAATATTAGCAACACCGACAAGTAAACGAGCCACACCGTTGGCCCGAGTGAATGGCATATCCACCTGAACCGTCTTGCCGATCAAAGACCCCAAACTCCACATCACCAAGAAGCTGTCCAGGGGATCCGATGGCGCCCCGGAGAAACGGACCCAAATCTGCCTCAACGGCGTGCCTGCGGCTCCTTCTTTTTCCACTCATCAAACTGCAACATAAAACTAGTGCATGTAACCCTGCTCATACCGAACTTAAGGATTCGCAACTGATCCTCCTTAGACGGGAAATCAACTTTGTAAGATGTATCATTTAGTTTGAGCAACGACCACTGAAAATTACCCGGAGCGAGTTCCTGCAGCTGCTGAATAATTTGCGCCTCGGTCAATGGTCCATGAACTACCTTCACCACCCCTGAGAAAGAAGTCAACCGCTGGGACCAAAGGTGCCACACTGGGAGACTCGAAGAACATCAACTCCGAGCAGCAGACCCCGGGACTAAATCGCTCGTGGACCAGCGAAAGCCCCCTGCCTTGCCCCCATGGGACAGCACGTCGGCCACACACACACCAGCCCATCATCACCTGCACACGTACCACTAGTGTACTGCAGCTCTCGTCTCCATCAGAAATAATACCCGAATTCCTCTAGTAAACAGTAATGGTTATTGGGAGTAAACGCACGCCACTAGTGTTGCAGTTCCCGGGGGATAAGTGCTGAGCTGGATTAGATAGCTTGATCGTTCCAGCAATGGTTTCTTGAGTACCTGTGTCACCTGTTGTCTCATAGCTGCCTGCCTTATAGTACTATAACTCTGTGTTGCCATCACCATTTTCAAATCATTTCATGTCATGAAAATCCCATGGGAACCGCTACTTATGTTGCCATCATCTTCTTGAATCGGTTTGAGCCGAATTCGTCAGAACATTCGAGGAAACAAAATATACATGGTGCAGCGCGTTCTGGCTGTTAATTTATTCAATCAAATCGTCGGAGCAGTCGCTGGAAAAGTTCCATCCAGAGTGACAAATGATCTGAAGCAGACACTGATATATATGTGGTAACGAATAATGGCTAGCTGGTGATAATCCAATACAAATTTGTGTGGACGATCGTCGATCCTGGATGACTGATCCATGGGTACGTGGAAAGACGTTGGGACTTAACTAGTGCAAGGATAAATTTGGACGGCCACCTCCTCACGAATATATCTGATGTGATATATACCCGTAAACAAGCAACAACGGTGATCTGCATATGTTAGTGCATATGATATGTTAAAAGTCGACTAGGTTCGGCCCCTCTACGACATTAGCTTCCATATGATAACACCAGTTTAGAACAGCTGATGTTTCAGTGCCATATGTGCACCCTTCCTGTTCCTGGGGCATATGCCCGCCGAGCTAGGGCACCTCGATTCCAAGGAGGAAAGGAACAAAGAGGGCACACCATGCAGTATGCATCAAGAAAAAACAAAGGCGACAAGCAAGCGACCAACCAACCAAACTGAACATGGAAGTTACTGCTGCAACATGGAGCTCATGCCTGGCTGCTATTGCCGCAACAGCGACGCTCCCGTCGCTGATTCGATGGCTGGAAACTAACTAGAGAACACGGAAAGCGAACCGAAAAGAAACAAAAGCGGGCCGAAAGGCAAAGGGGCGAGGCTAGACCGGCCGGCCGGTGAATTTTGTTCCTTTGGTCACCGCCGTGACCAGTGAGCGACTTCACCACCGTCATGCCGGCCACTTGGAGCACCGCACAGTCGAGCTCCTTTTGTGCTACTCGTGTGCAGTGCAGCCACCTCAATCACATCTTCCCTGTGTGCTCCCTGATTCCATTTCAACCCCGCCGGCAAACTGACAAATTATGTCGATCGCCGGGTCCGGGCGTGCCTGGATCCTTCTTCCGTTTGTGCTCTACGCACATCAGGATCAGCCTAGGCTAGATACCGTGTGCGGGCAGTGGTTAATTCATTCGTTCTAACCTGGTAAGCTTTGTTAAAATAGCTCACAAGTGGGATGAAGTGATGAACGCCTGTATATATGTGGGTACTCTTTTCTGGAGTAGCTTTTTTTACGTTACCCCTAAACTAGATATGTACTGGAACATATTGGACAGTTGAGGTGTCACTCACCGAGCCAAGCTCACGTATCAACAGCTTAGCTTGTTCCACTGGAACTCGATACAGATTTGTTGTATGGCGGTGATGACCGATGAGATTGTATAATAAAGCTCGTGGATCGGTCGAAGAAGCCATCAACGCATTTCGTCGAATCATAAACGATCAGAAGGGGAAAATGGATTTCGGATAACAAAGGGATCGATCTCAACAAAGGGAAAGCTGAGTGCCTGACAGCTAAACATGAAACAACAAAGCGGAGGCATGAGAAGAGCAAAACCATGAATCAGTGTCCATCTTACATGAAAGCGTTTCTTGCCATTCTAGTCGTGAGTGTGAGTCGTCCAATCCATGTCAACTGTGCGTATGTAGTATATCACTACCCCAAAACGTTTCCTTTCCGTTGGTTCAATGCCTGATGAACGTGAACAGTTCAACGGTGACATAACTTTTCATGCCAGAAAAGAAATGTTTCTCGCAGCTGTCATCACGGGACTCCCTAGTCGCCACGGTTCAATTCAGAGCCGCGGGTGGTTCCTGTTCCTGTCCCTTCAAGCTCGTTTTTTTTTCATTTTTTTATTTTTTTTGAAACGGAGGCAATTGTTTTTAAGTTGAGAAGCGATCGAGCAACCAACTGAAATAAATCGAGCGGTCCATGAAGCGGCTTGTGAACCCTCATGACTAATTTTCATAGAAAAACGCCCATGACTAATTAATACAGCTATTGCACTAAGTCAATGAGGGGGACCTCATGAGCGGCTTTCCATACTAGTATTTCATGTGATTCACGCTGATGCTAGAAAACCGCTAAAAAACTCGGCTCGCTGTTGACATACATGTGTGCCTTCCGTGGCCATCATATGCTAATCCCTACTACTACTCAGTTTGTTTTCAGATTATTTTCTTTCGACTACTGCTCAATTTATAAGCATCTTTGGACCTTATGACCTTGTTATGTTTTTATTTAATAATATGGTTGCATGCAACTATTGATGTAGAGGGCCGGGGTATTCCTCCTTTTCAAAAAAAATGTTAATCCCTACTCCTTCCTGCTAATCGGAAGGCTAATCGGAGGGAGGTAATGAAATGAACATAGACGGCCCCATCCCATTTGTCATTTCTCCTGATGTCACTGGGCAACTTGGCGTTGTTCTCAAGCTTGTTCAGTAGCGCCAGGTCGCGGTTAGCCATTGGCCGATAAGCAGGCGAGGAGTATAAAATCGGAGGAGTGGCTCCGGTAAGTATCACCGGAAAGCGGCCTTGATGCTGTGACATTTCTGTGGCTTTGTCTTGCTGCGCAACTTGCACACTGAATATTGCCTCTTTTAAGCTCCCGGTCCTAAACTTCAACAACTAGGAGTAGATGACACTGGAGGTCTCGTCAATCATGTCATTTCCCCATTATAACTAGTACGGGCGCTCTTGTCTGATTCCCTAACATCACAAGGAAGAAGGGAAAGTAGGATCTATCTAGGCCCCTTGGGCTCTTCTCCGCACGCTAAAACTTTCTTGATCACAGCATCAACAAACCATTTTTAATTAATTAACTAATTATTCCGCTGGAGCCATCATGTAATTTCAGTCGTACTCGCCCTTCTCCCTCATGGTCTGGCTTGCAAGTTTGGTCCACATACATAAGACGATGCTGACTTACTTACCAGAAACCAGGTAATTACACCGTAACCCGTACTTAACCCCCCCGTATTTTCCTCCGGTTGTGTCACGTCCGGTTTGTAGTCTAGCATCCAAAGTCTGCGAGTGACCCTAACAGCCGATGACCTGGAGGCTTTCACATGCTTCACGCACGGTCCCTTCCTCTTCTTTTTTTTCTTTATGCGTGTACACGGGTGCTTTCCAAGTCCAAGTAGCAAAAGCTTGCAAGCCAAAGGCACAAATAAGTAGTGGTGGCTTTTGGCGTATCACGACGTATGCTACTGCTACTGCCATCCACGCGGAATATCCCAAATCTCCCAAGGATTTGGCTCAGCTCAGCAGCTCCCGGGGCATCAAGATACAGGAGAAATGAAAGCAAAGTGAGAGACATCAGTGTGTCAGTTTGTGTGTTTCAGTTATTCAGAGGAGACATGCATGTTCATCTGGCCAAGTCCTTGATTTATTGCTTCGGCTAAATACGAATAACTCGCTTACAAGTAACCCCGTTCTTTTTTATTATTCATTCCACCTAGCAGTAGTAATTTACAAGCAAAGATCTGATCGATACATGTACATATATTAGGACCGGCCCGGCATGGTGTGCATGCTGCATTAATTCCTGACTTTCTGAACTCCCCCTCCTCTCCTCGTGATGGATACTGTTTGCCCGGCAAATGCTGAAGAGCATTCCACGTGAAGATCACCTGTCCGGCAGGCTCGGGTCGAATCGGGTTGCGCTTGGGGTATCAGACTGAAGGTGCACCGGGAGCCAGCGGCGTCTTACGCGGTCACCGAGGTCTCGATCGCCACGCGATCGGCGTAGAGGACGTCCTCCGCCTTCTCGGCCTCCTCCCACAGCTCCGGCAGCGCCTCCCTGATGTTGTGGATGCTCTCCAGCGCGTGATCCGCGCCCTTCACCCGCTGCGACGTGCCAACCAGCACCGTGTGGAGGCCAATTCGCTTGCCTGCCTGAATGTTGCGCACGCTGTCGTCGAAGAAAATCTGCGGTAATTAAGCGAGTTTAATTTCGTTATTAGTTGACGTACGGCCAAACACAAAACTGAAATGCTGCAAGTAAATAGTATTCGAATGTTCTGGTAACTCAAACTGTCAAGACTTACCGCCTTGTAAGGGTTGACGTTGGCGATCCTGAGGGCCGCCTCCATGGCGCCCACGTTGGGCTTGCATAGGACGGGGGTCCTGGGCAGGTCGTCGGCGCTGCCTAACCCGGCGAAGTGGCCGGCGATGTCGAAGATCTCGGGCGCCTGGTCGCACGGCGTCAGCAGGCACGGCGGGTTCAGGGTCTCGAAGCAGATGATCCCCTCGAAGCAGTCCTCCAGGCCCAGCCTCTTGAGGGCTCTCACGGCATGGATCATGTCACCGTTGGTGAAAATCTGAAACAAACACATGTGTCAGGAGCCCATTAATTAGCCATTTGCTCCGAGTATGGAGTTTCATCAGCATGGGCAGGGGACATACGAGCTTGCGGATGCGCATGTTCTTGAGAATCTGCTTCAGAACGGGGTCTGGCTTGATGTTGTCGTAGGGCAGTCTTCCATGGACAAAGCTGTCAGAGGCAAGAAGGAAATACAGGAAGATGTTAGAGCAGAGTAGCACAAAGAATCCACACGCTCGTAGGAGAAGATGGGCTCATGTGTGTACGTACCTGTGGTACTCATCGTAGTCGAAGTTGTAGCCAATTGCCCTGAGGCCCGCCATCGTGGTGCCATAGTTCTTGTACAGCAGGTTGCCAAGGTTTTCGATCTTGCTCTCATCAATACCCAGCTTCTCAATCATGTAAGCTATATAGAGAATAGCAAAACATGCATTCAGTTTAACAGATTCGCACACTGAGAAACGAGAGGAGATGAGAAGCAGCAGGAGAGGTGAGAGGCCTCACCTTCAATGTTGGTCTTGACGTGTGATGAGATCCCCGAGCTCAGCGGGTACAGAGTGTCGTCGAGGTCTGCAGCAGAGAAACATGATCAGAACTTGTGCATTCATTCAGTAAAAAAAACAGAGTTGTAAAAGGAGGAAACACGGAGATATAAATAAAAAAATTAGAGCAAAAGGCAGACATAAATAAATAAGAGAATAAATGGCGAGTGGCATTCCGCAGAGAAGAGGTTGCCTACCAAAGAGGAGGCAATCAAATTTGGGCTCCTGGACCTTGAGGCAGCGCTCGTCGAACTCCATGATCCGGGCTGTGGTGAAAGAACTGCAGAAAGGGTCAACAATCAGCAGGCCGTTCGATTACTTCTCCGGGTAAATTCAACCATATTCCTAGTTCCATCAATTTTATCATATATACACTCCAGGTTTTAATCTATTATAAACCCCCCGGATCATTTCCCCCCATTGTTACTGACAAGCACGCGGCTCAACATCAGAGCTCTGAACGGAGCCACATTTGCCATGAATCCGCGGCCAGAGAACAGGACCATACCTACTAAGGACCCGGGCGCTCGCGAGCTGCAGCAATGCAACAGCTCTCGCGGATGCAGAGCCGGGGAGAGCAGAAGGCAGAGGTCTGGAGCCTTCCTTCAAGAGCGCGCTCAAGAGGCGAGGCGTATGGAGGAGAGAGAGAGAGGGAGAGCGGGAGTGGGGGGAGGAGAAGAGGAAGGGAGGGGGCGGGCTTAAATAGGGGTCTCCGGTCGGGATTAGCAGCCCATCAGCACTAGTTAATTGGTCGAGCGAGCGCGCGCGGTTGTTAATAGCCTCCAAGGGCAGTGCACCCCAGCTGTCGCCCCATGATTGGTCGGGCCCTATCAAACCGTGGGGGCGGGCGTTTTTCATTTTCATCATTTCGTCACCCCTGAATTACCCCCTCCGTCCGTTGTCGCTCGTGGAGAACCCGTCTCTGCCCGGAGAGGACAGGACAGGGTGTTCATTTCTTATTTCTTGGAGGAGGGGAGAGGGGAAATGGCTGTCATGTTACTATATTTTTCTTTCTAGAGAAGAAGAGAATGCTTCGCACGATAACCATGTGTATACACATGATCCATTGTATATTTAAATTAATTAATGATGAGGAAAGAGTTGTTCAACGGGTTAACGGAGGAGACCGTGACATTGCAGGTGCTTGCTCGTGCCGTGTGGCCTGAGGCAAATAACGTGACCCCCAGACCTGTTCCATGGAAAACGGGCACCGTGACAGCTGTGGCCCAATGATCCAAAGAAAGAACCAAGCAAATAGCGGTCCGGATAAAACTACGGCTTCGAAACGATGAAACGCTAGTCACACAATCCCTAAAAAGAAGGCAAAAATGGTGAAAAATGGAGTAATTAGACCAATGGCAAGAGGTACGAGACTCATGCATGGTTTGATTGGTGGTAAATACTTACGTAGCACTGTTGGAATATCCGACGGGATAATACCGAGATTGGCAAGATTATATATGGGTGGCAAAAATCTGGAAATGGTTGGATCAGAGAGGGTGGAAAAGGGGGGGCTCATGTGGCTGTGTACGCGCAGCAAACTTGGGCCTCTTGCCTTCTTCCCCCATTTGAACAACGGATTTGTTCTCCCCAACTTCTCTTCTGCTTGAGAGGGCTCGCTTCTCTTGCTTCATTCGACACGACTTCCGGTTGAAAACACTTGTCCAATTCCGCGATGCAAATTTGTCAAACACGATATCTACCTCGCCCACTTCTTTCCCTATGATTGGCCGTTCCGGTAAAAATGGAATGAAGAAAAACGTTTCCGTTGGGACGCCGTGACCATGGATCGGGGTCACGCTAGACTGTTCCATGACCAGGAGGTCGAGACCTGGCGATTAATACAGCGGCCAGGATGTTCGAGGGACGAGTTCTGGACAGGTTGCCACTGGCGCAAATCATTTGCGCGCCCAATTATTGGACCAAATCATTAGACAATACTTGTGGACGGCCACGTGTCGCCCGATTTTTCTGTCGGGCTAACTGGCCGACGCGTCATCGCCCGCACCGTATACGCCTGTGCGCTCCAAAATTCCAATTCTTAAACACTCATGCACCAAAGAAATAATGCACTCCTTATCTGTAACCTAATATATATTTTTTGCCGAAAAAACTTTCGATCTATTCATCTTCAACCATGGTAATACAACGAACACTAGAAATAATAAAAACTACATCCAGATCTGTAGACCACCTAACGACGACTACAAGCACTGAAGCGAGCCGAAGGCGCGCCGTATAGATCACTAAAAAATGATCTAAACAATCTTATATTAGTTTACATGGAGTACTATACAGTGTTTTCTTTTTCAAAAAATCTATTGCAAAGGTTCATCGAAAGTACAAAGCATCTCAAATATAGTAAAAATTGTATCGAGATTCTGAGACCACCGAACAACCATTATTGCCGTCAGAACGAGCCGCCGACGCGCCGATATTGCTGCTCCACTACCGCAGCCGGCTTGACCTTGTTGAAACAATCTCATCTTATAGGGAAATGATTCTATCCGACTAGCGAGACGAAACTTCCACCTGACACGCGTGCGTTGTAGGATGGAAGCGAATCGAGCAGCCCTTGTTTCCTTTTTGTGCATGCCTCCAACCATTGCTTCTCTTCTTCAGCTTATCTCTTTATGCACCTCTCTCCATTTCCCTCAAACCCCCTCCCCCCTCGCGCGTGACCAACATGGATTTGCGTCGGCCGAGCTCGCGCGTTCCTCTCTCTCTCTCTCTCTCTCTCTCTCTCTCTCTCTCTCTCTCTCTCTCTCAGACCGCGAGCTAGCCAGCGAGTTGCAATCATGATGGTCGCATGTTGGATCCGCAACCACAACGAGTTGCGACGGCCACAACGGGCGAGCTGCAGTGGCGGCGCGACAAGAAGGGGCCATGGCACGGTGTCCTGGATTAGTGGGTACTCGCCACATTATGTGGTCATGAAGGCTCGATGGCTCATCTCCGGATCGACGACAACATTGGTTACGGGAAGACGTTCCTCACCGGACAACTTTTTTACCTTGATAGCACCGTGCTGCACGCCAACTCAACTGGCCACCGTGGCCAGGTTGAGAATCTCGTCCCAGGCCAGACCATCATGTTTGGCAATCTGGAGTATGTCACGGACTCCAATGGCGAACTTGCTTTTTTGGGCTGGGTGTCAGACCAAACCGAGGATCTCGCCAACACCATCGTCCTAGCACAAGGCTCAATCTCGGAGCAGGACGTTACCCCATCGGATCAAACTTTAGGGCCGACCACCAAAACCCCCAAGACCGCGTCAGGTGGAACCTCGGGCAAACCTCAATTAAGCCTCGCCTACTATCAAAAGATGGGCGAGGCCGATATCACGCTTCTGAACGAGATGTTAGATCAGATTCAGAGTCTGTCAGTCTTGGATGATCAAGCTTCAATCTACTATCGGATCAGGGAGAGACCTTAAGTGGTTGGAATTTTAAGCCCACCCACCACCCACCTAGTCACTATCGTCGAGGACTTAACCGTCATTTTATCGTACATGTCTGACGACATGGATGAAGATGTCGACGAGACGTCGGGCGCCGCCTCACCACCTCCCACCGGTAATACCACCAAGTGGGCCACTACCACCACGTATGACGTCTACATGGTGGATACCCCCAAAGACGGAGGAGGAAGCAGAAAATCCCCGAGATGCCGATGCAAGGGCCACCGTAAAAGTGGCACTGACAACGGCGGCACTAGAAACAGTGACACCGTTGATGATGGCACCACTCTAAATGGCGCCGACAACGGCAAGAACATGGTGAAAACATCGACAGCGGGAATAACGGCAGCGTTAATAGGGACGACGAGGATCCCGAGGATGCTGACTACTACCCCGAATCCAAGGAAGATAGAAGCCTCGGGCCTGATGAATTTGATGACTTTGAGGAGCCCCTCGAGCCACCCCAGCTCGAGGTCTACCAGAAGCGATTGGCCAATATGGCCAAGAGCATCAAGCAGAAGACCCAATAGTTGAAGTCCGAGCAGGATCAACCAAATGATAGATGAGTCGAACTCCTCCAGGCCAAGTAGGATCTTGGGGACAAGCTTGCGAAGAATGAGGCTAACAAATTTTGCCCCAGGATAAATTTACTCCCGGAGTTAGATGAGGAGGCCGATCGCAGCATGCTATCAAATCACGGTTGGGCCGAGAAACCCGATCGCGCTCCTTAGGACCGAGATAGGCTAGTTGGCGGATACAAGGACCCTCTCGAGGTCCCCCGGCGCCATGGAAGAGTAAATCCACCTCAACTAATGTAACATCCAAATTTTCAATTTGGATGTTATTTATAGATCATTCGAATGCATCCATGATTTATGCATTTTTGCCTTCATTTGTTTTATTTGAATATTGATCCAAGCAACTTTGAGCAACTCAAGGACCAAAAGAAGGAGTTGGAAGTTTCCCTAAAACCATTTTTGAAATTTTCAAAGTTGGGAATTTGGATCAAATTTGGTTCCACCAAAAATTCATTTCCATTATTTAAGAAATAAAATAAAGAGAGAAGATAAAAGGACTTCTTCAGAAAAACAGAATAGAAATATTGGAAATTGAATTTGAAATTAAAGTATATTTATTGGGATTTATTTACAAATTATTTTGGTGCAAATTTTATTAGCATAGCAAAAAGTTTATTTTAAAATTTTGCATTGAAGCGAGGAAAAATGTCCACCTAATCCCATTTATTAGGAGGGAATTATGTGAATTTTCTGGAATTTTTTTTGAATTTTATTTATTTATTTGTTTTCGGTGCTTTAGGGTTTTTTGTAAATAAAACAAATCTAAAAACGTTTTTTAAGAAAAATCGTGCCCGGCCTAGCCAGGCGACAAGCTAGCCGGCCCAGCTTGCCACACTCTGGCCCATCCCTGCGCCCGAACCGCCTCCGCCCCGCTCGCCGGCTCGCCCAGCCGCCGACAGGTGGGTCCCACCTGTCGGGTTCCTCTTCCCCACGCCAAGGCGGTGTCCTGCTCCAGAAAGCCGGGTCCGCTCGAGACTCTTTCCCCAGCCTTGCCCCTCCTCCACGAAAGCCGCATATGTATAGCCTCGACCCCGGACATCTTTTTCCTCAAATCTCAAGCCCCGAAAGCCACTACAGCTTTCGCACGAGTTCGCTAGACTTCCTGAGCTCCGCCGAAAATCCTCCGCCTCGCCCCGCGCTCCACCGCCACCGTCGGCCGATGCGGCTGCAACGTCGACATATTCCAGCATATTCCATGTGCTTACCTACACGGCTGCAACGTCTCATGTTGCAGAGTTTCTCGACGAAGATTAAGGTGTGATAGGTCGTTGTTTTGCACTCAGCTTTGTCATGGAGTTGGATGGACTCATTTATCTTTGAAGTTTCCATAGTTAGTTTATTTAGTTGGCCTTCAGTCATATTTATGTAATAAATACTCTTTATGAGGACCTCGATGTAATAAGTGTGTGATTGATCTCTGTTACAAAATCCTCGAGTACTGTGTGTGTCAGCATACCGATCTAGGGATGACACTTAAGCACAGAGACTTTGATCAATTGGGATCGGGTTGCTACAAAATGGTATCAGAGCACACGCTGACTGTTAGACGCGACCACTAGGACTGGAAAAGCCTTAGGATGGAAAAATCTTATTTTATAATTTCCATATATATCATTGGTCTTATGCTCTCCTCTATTCATTTCTAATCCTTCCCTATTTCAACAATATAGATGTCGAACCCTAGGACCAAGTTTGTTCAACTCGACGAGACCACGCCCTTCGGACGACACCTGAAGGAAGTTGTGAAGTATCTGAACATCGCCCTGCCCACTTTCACCGGAACTTCATCGCTACCTTGCCGGAAGAGAAATGTTGGAGGATCAGAATTT